CCAATTGTATTAATTTTTTCCCTACTTATTGGTTAAAAAGTAAAGGATTTCCTAAAAAGTAAAGAATTTCCTAGTTTCACAATCCATATCAGGTATATGAGAATATAAGATAAATTAACAGTCTCCAAATACCCTTAAGTAAAATGAATGATAATAATATAATAATCAAAATAGTTAAAATAATAACATATAAAAATAATATATCTGTATTGAACACTTAATGCCAAGCGCAGTGCTAAATAGTATTCTATTTAATACCAAAAACAACCCTCTAAAGACATGTTATCCATATTCTACAAATGAAGAAAATAATCCATAGAATAAATTAATAATGTGACTGAACTCATGTAGCCAGAGAAGATAATGAAATCAATTTGATTATTCAAATCTGAGGTTTTATTTAAGGCAATAGATTGAAATGGGCTGGAGTGGAATGAGGTAGCAGAAGACAGGATAGGATGGGGTGGGATAGGATAGAATAGAAAAGCTACTGTGTACCACGTTGCAAGGTTTGACTGGTAAAACTTCGTTTTCAGTTTTGAGAGAAGGAGAGAAAGAATGAGAGGGAGAAACAGAAGCTTTGCACTGTTTCACTGCATAGTGGATTTCTCACTGGGAGATTCGATACAAAAACTAAAAATTTTGGAGCAACTACACTAAAGAATGTTCAGCCTCGCTCCAACCCCCATATTGCCATAATCCAAACAAAATAATTTTCTCATTTGGTGTGTTCCTGGTTGACTCTTGTAATATTTAAGGATCAGAAAGAATGCGTCTTCTGCAGTATTTCAGCCAAGCCCATTGGGTTACATATGGAGAAATAGAAGACCGAATAATAGATTGACACCCTAATGCAGAATGGCACAGTTAAATTAGTGGCATATTTGGGAGTAGAATATGGGTATCCTACTGCTGTTCAATGTTGTTCTTTGCTTGGTTGCTTGCTTGGTTGCTTGCTTTTTCTCCCAGGAGTTGAGGATTAAATGAATAAAGCATCAGAAATAACAAGTTGTAGGTTGTCAACTCCTACTCATTGACTAGTATATCTGTAACACACAGGGACCTCTCCTTTGCTATCAAATGACAGCAGTGACTATTTATTAAGTGCTTCTTTAGCAGATCATTGTATTTAGGTATAAGCTATGCCTTTTATTATCTTGAGCTTCTAGTATAGATGAGGGAAAAAAAGATATTTATTTATAAGTGATGTAGTAACATGTAAAGACTAGGTTAAAAAAAAAAAGATTTTTCAAGTGAAAGGTACAGACCATTACATTGCTCAGAAGAGGGAGAGGGCACTGTGACTTGGGTGACAATTAAGTCAAAGAAATGTGGAAGAGACAGCATTGAGTTTTCTTAGAGACTTAAGTGTGTCAGGATATGCCAAGATTGATAAAGACCTGATCAATTCTGAAATGCTTCCTGATTTAATAGGTGAAAAATCAGGATTGTCACAAAGCAACTGAAGAATAAACTGCTCAACTGCCAAATGACTCTTTGGGGGCCTGTTGATATTATAATGTAATTTTGTGCTAGTTGTTCATAAACTATTAATTGGAGAAAAGTCTGTTTATGTAGTCATTCCAAAGAGTATTGTTAAGAAATTCAGGTGCAATGGAATATGCCAATGTTAATGGTAAATGTGAATAGTAATAATAAATTCTTTAAATTAAAATTATACCTCTTCTTTGGAGCCCACTCAGATTCTTAAAGTCAGTCCACACTGAGCTTTTTCTTTTAAAGAAATCTCTTTAATACATAAATTGCTACATTACCCTCAGTACTTAACCAGTGTCCTGATGTTGTAAAACAAATGTTTTGTTTGTGCATCTCAGCTTCTTAGATTATAAATTTCTAGCTGGTCTTGGATTTTTCTAATCACATTCCCAGTACATGCTACATGATAAATACAGATTTGATGATTGGTTAATAGATATAGGGTATTTTTTATATATGGCTAGGAAAATACTAAATTAACTCATCAAATTCTCTTGCTTTCTTATGGTATTAACTACATGCTACCAATTACTCTACCTCTGTACTCAGTACATCCTCAACTAGTTTTTAAGGGCTTGTGATAGGTAACAACTCTTACTTACACTTATCTCAGTACCCTATACCAAACGTAGTGCCTATTCATAGTAGATATTAAATTAATAATTGCCAAGTGGAAATTGAATGAATTTTAAAACTAATAAGCACAATATCTATAGGAAGCCTACCACAGAATGGACACGTGGAAAACTCTCAACAAACATGAAATGAATGAACGAATGAATCATGGATTCTAAGTTTTGCCACTAACTAGTTTTGTAACATGATCAAATCAGCTTCCCTTTTGGGGACTCTGTTTTTTCATCAATAATATAAGGTGTTTAGATTTGAAGGCTAGCTTTATAACTACTTTAAAAATTCTAGGAAGGTACTTCAGGACTTCCTTGAAGAATGAAGTATTTTCTTACCCAATGATATGTATTTGCAGGCCTTAGTTTATGGGGGGGGGCATAAGATACTTTTTTAAAAAAAGAGCCCCATTGCTAAAATTGTTTGCATAATATTAGTGTAAATTACAGTATGGAAATTTGCCTTTTTAAACCAGTTTGAGCACATGCAATTTAAAAGTCCATCTTGCTATTATTCCAGGAGCCACATTCAAATGCATTTGATATTAATTTCATAGGAAAATTGAAGACAACATTAATAAATTGCAAAGGCATGTAACAGTTCTTTCACCACAAAAAGAGAGAAATGTATGCTCATTTGTCATGCATACAACAAGCATCAAACAGTAATAATTTTTAACAGGTTGAAATAAAATATTTCATTTTGTCTTTTCCTCACTCCATATTCTCTTGTTATTTAAGAGAGAAGCATGGTGAAAACATCTTATTGAGTTGCTTCTTTGATGAACTCTTGGTTGGTTTGGGTTTGATTCCCCCTTCCTGGAAAATTTATATTGGCAGGTTGGCAGGTAAAATCGTGTTGCTTTAATTGATCTATTGGAATGTAAAACTGGTTATTGACTGATACTTATTAGACTATAAAATCAAGATTATGGGCCTAAGAAATGCATCTGTGGCTTAGTAATAATTACAAGAATAATGGTAGTAACAATAACTAAGAGCTCTATTTATACTAGACACTAAGCTAACTCCTTTCCATATACAGTCTAATGTATTCCTTGTGACAATCCTGTATGATAGGTTCCATTACTACTGGAGAGGGAAATGAGCACTTTTCCAAAGGTTAATACTTAGTATGTGGTAAGTCATGATTCAGTGAACTTAGAGTTTACTGGAAATGAAGATGAAAGGACACACATAGATTTCACACAAAATAGAATGAGTGCTATAGGAGAGACACATACAAAGTATCATTATCTAAGATTGTTAACCTGTCTTTTGATTCATTCATGTATTTGTACAGCTATACCCCCAGTGTTCATATATTCTCCATGTACTTTTACCCAGAATTCTAGGGCTTGCAGATCCTTGGTTCTCTGCTTCCATCCATTGCCGGAATCCCTTTCTACACCATCCCTGGGATCTTGGTCACAGAACCCTGTTGCTGAGTACCTTTAGGGATAAACATGCTCCCTATAGGCAGGTGTATCTGCTGCTCAGGTTGCATAGATGGGAGTTGAGCCACACTTGGTTTCCCTGTACCTTCCAATCTTGGTTTTTCCCAGTATAGCCAGTTAACAGTTTAGGATCATCCTTTTACAACAAGCCTACCCTGTCTGAGGCCATTGTTTGGCTCCATCCCATCTCTACATGTCTTTTTTTTCATAGTTAATACTGCAGTGTTTCTGTGAAGTTAAAACTACGTAATCATGTAACTTGTTTAGAAGAGTGCACAATGCATAATAAGCAATCTGTAAAGAATAGATGATAATAATGCTAATAATAACATAATTGTTATTTATTGGATTAGGCATAGTTTATAGAATTCTTCCTCTCCTGGTTGGCCACATTTTGTATAGAATGATTTAGATATAGATGCCAGATTTCCTTAAATATGTTACTGTTAATAGGACACAGGGTTTCAGGTTCACTTGTGTATATCATTAAAATGAGCCCAATAAATTAAACTCAGGTTTAATGATTGACTTAATTGGTAGGGATATTGGCAATGCCCATTCTTGCATACATAATTCCTGGGTTCTGCTTCATGGAGTCGTTATATTTAAATACCCTTTTAAAAACCTAAACCACTGTCTGGCTGTGTGATTGCCCCATAGAAAATAGCAATAATGAAAAGAATAAAAAGAGAAAGGTGGAAACTCACTTGAACAAAATAGAAGCCATTTCAAAGATACAACCCTACATAAGAATGAGGGAAGGGAAATAAATACATGTACCTAAAGCATGACCAATGATCATGCAGTTCCTCCATTCAAAGGCTTAATCTACTTTTTTTTTAAATTAAGCATACCAACTCTTTGTTTCTAACAGAATAAAATTGTAATAAAACAAAAAGGTTTCACTACAGACCAAAGCCGGACAGCTGCTTAAAAGATGCCAAAATGTGCAGCTCCCTGGAGCCTAAAGTCTCTTTTAAGGTTGATTATGAGTGACGCGTCCAGGCGGGGAGTCTTCCAGGAGGAAATACATCTTTGTCTGGGGTTAGGTCAAGGGCTGGACTCACAGGGCTCTAGTGAACCTTGAGGAGAAATCTCTGAGGCAGAGCCCAGACAGATGAAGTCACTAGATCCTCAGAAGGGGGAGGAGAAGATAAAACCTCACCCTGGACTGATTTTCAGTTGCAAGACTTTTCTGGCAAAGGATATGCCCAAACTTGTTCTCTCCTGGTTTGCCTACTGTTCGTGGGCACCCATGCAACCCATGTGGTTCTAAAGTCTCAAGTTGAGATACAATACCAACAAACGGTAACATCAGTGGCCCCCCAGCGCCATTTAAATATCTTTTCATATTCTTGTATGTTGCTTTTGAAGGGTGGATATTCTAGGATGTGGCCTTGTAGAAAAATGTCTTTTTCAGGCTATATGGAATCTTAACATCATCTAGTCCAATCATGTCATTTTGCAGATGAGGAAACAGGCTGAGAGACAGGGGACTTGCCCAGAGTTACTCAGCTAGTCAGTAACAGACAACAGTGGAGCTTGGGGTAAGTTGTGTGGCCTCTTTGGGCCTCTCAGTGAATCTATAAATTGGAAATGAAGGATAGGTCTATGTGATCTCTCTAAAATTCCTTCTTATTGTAACATTCTACTTATGTTTAATTTTAGATTTGTAACTTCCAGTGTGATTTCCATTTTGTAATAATCAAGAGCCTCTTATAAAAATGATGATAAATATATACCTAAATGTCAGTGTTCAAGAATTTGGATGAAGGCTAAAGTCTGGTTAATAATTTTATATTATGTACAGATACTTATCTCTGTACATGGCATAGATTTGGACTAAAGATTTTGAAAGTGCACCTGGCTTTGAATATGGTTGGTAATTTACTATATTATATCCTAAGGCTACAGACAACTTCTTTTTTTTTTTTTTTAATTTTTTTTTTCAACGTTTATTTATTTTTGGGACGGAGAGAGACAGAGCATGAACGGGCGAGGGGCAGAGAGAGAGGGAGACACAGAATCGGAAACAGGCTCCAGGCTCTGAGCCATCAGCCCAGAGCCCGACGCGGGGCTCGAACTCACGGACCGTGAGATCGTGACCTGGTTGAAGTAGGACGCTTAACCGACTGCGCCACCGAGGCGCCCCTACAGACAACTTCTTAATTAAACTATAGGAAATGTTTCTTTATTGCTATTGCCTTATGTTGTTTTACTCATTGCTGGAAATTTCGAGTCACATCAATGAGTAGGGTTATTCAGGAAGTCCTGCCATTATAGGATAGAAATGCCCAAGTTGGTTTGGGTTCATTGAAAACTCCATTGCTTATAAGCAATAATTGGATCTTTTTTTTTTCCCTCTCATTTCTTCAGTATGCACAGTTTCAATAAAATGACAGCAAATCCGTTATGTAATGGAAGCTATAAAAGCTTTCATCAAGAGTGTGCATGTTTACTGTCTGTTTAGGATAATCTGGGTTATGGGAGTGGCAAGGGCAAAAGATTCAAGATTAAGATCCGCCTGGCATTTCAAGTCCTTGGCTCCATGGACTTCGGCAGGGGGTTGTGAGGGTAATGGGAGGAGCAAGAAATTAATATCCTCTTTTTTTTGTCTGTTTCCCCTAAGGTCCCCATCAGGTGCAAGTCTTTCCAAACTCTGTGGGATACTTTAAATATCCATTTTCCCCTGTTGAATATGTGGATTCAATCCATTTTTAAAGTACGATTTATAATGCAGAGAATTTTGAGGGTAGGGAGTTCATTGGTTACAGGGGAAACATGTTTACAACATTGGCATGCAAGTCAGACATTTATTACCAAGATGACATTTGACAAGTTATGCGTGATGGTGTTTACAGAGATATCAAAGGGATGAAATGGAATAATGTATATGAAAGAAATGTGTACAATCGAAAGTATGAAAAATCTTTTGTGTTTTTTTTATACTGCATATTAAAGGAAATGGACAGGTGTATAGAAAAGAGTGAGGGGTAGAGAAGGAGAGAGTGTGAGAAGAAAATATTTTACTTTTACAATCAAATCATGGCTTAGAGCAGAGACCACTATGATGCAGGTGAAATATTGCTGCTGGAATATTGGATGTCCATGCTTCTTAAAATATTATGTACATTTGAGTCACTTGGGCATATTGTTAAAATGCACATTCTGATTCATTAGATCTGAGATGAGGTCTGAGAGTCTGAATTTCTAAAAAGCTTCCAGATGCTGCTGATGCTGCTGGTCCCAGCACTCTGAGTAGCAAGGTTCTATGCCATCAGAGTCATAGGTGTAACCAAAAGTCAACTAAGTATTTTACTAGAAATCAAATTGTTTACATATTTTGGGGGATTTATACATCAAGGGAATACCATCCAGCCTGGCTAATGATGTGCCTCCTCCTTGCCACACAAGAAAAGAGCCTTTAGCCCTTTCTGGTTTTATTATTAAGTGTTGGGAAAGCACTCTGCTTCTACTGGTTGGGGCTTCTGGCTGAAAGACAGTAGCAAGATAGGGGTTTTATATCCAGAACAGTTAGCAATAAAGAAGATCGAGGGAACCAACGCATTACGAAGTCCGTTGACTTGCTTTTGGTTTCTTTACTGGGTTGTATCTAGTGGAGGTCATTGGGTCTTGCCATAGGAATTCTGGATATGTGATCAGTTGTCTGAAATCTCGTTTTTGCCCTGGCACATTGCATATTTACATTGTCTTATAAATCACTCATTTCCCTAACAGAAGTATGAACAGGGAGAAAGCATGTGAGATGTTTCCCTGTTTTTATTTTTTAAATTCAGTTCCACACACATTGACAGAGAACTAGGTTACACAGTGGTGAACTAGGCTCTGAGAGGGAGCCTGAGGATCAGGAAAGGGATCCCGGGTATTGTCAGTTCACATTTAGACATTATTCACAGGCATAATAAATAAGCAAATACAAGGCGGTTTGAATTTAAGGAAAAATATGAGCTCTGCTAAGAACACGATGAAATTTGAAAAAAAAAAAAAGAGGCAACAGTGCTGCTGGGGAGGGAATTCAGAAGACATTGTAAAGGAGGAAGAATTGAGATCATGGTCACTTGCACGTAGAGGCCAGAAATCAGTTTGAGGCAAAGTCTTTGTCATATTGTAGGTATGTAAGTGGAGAGCAAAAGCAGAGACATAGGTGAGTATAATTCAACTAACACAGTGCTAAGATTGTGTTTGGATGTCCTTCTTTGGAATTCAGACTAAAGCCTAGAGCTTATGCGGGATTGTTGGAGGTGAGGGAAGCCAGGTCCGGTAGTGTTTTAGCTGGTGTTTCTCTCAAATTTCAGTTTTTTCCTACTGGGTGTAGTTCCCTAGAATCTGCAGGAGAAAAGATCACCTTTTATATAAACACCTCTCCTTGGCAATTGAAACACAACACTTTAGAAGATACATGAATCAGGGATGGGCGAGAGAGAAAGGATTCCAAATTGCTTAAAAATATATTCCGTGGGGCACCTGGGTAGCTCAGTGGTTAAAGGACCCACTCTTGGCTCAGGTCATGATCTCGTGATTGGTGACATTGAGCCCCACGTCGGGCTCCAAGCTGACAGCGCGAAGCCTGCTAAGGATTCTCTCTGTCTCTCCTCTCTGTGCCTCTTTCTCTTTTTCTGTCTCTCTCTTTAAACATAAATAAACATTTAAAAATATATGTATATTTCCACGATTCATTGACTCATTAGGTGCTTCCTCTTTACAACTCTGACACTCAGATGTGTTAAAGATGCTCTCTGCTCTAATTTATGTGAATTTAAATTTCTCTTTAAGTGAATTTTTGCCCTGATAGTTACTTTGGAGTATTATTGGTTGATAATAAAGAGACTTTCATATCTCTTTTTTTGATATGCTGGTGCTTAGCTATTTCAAAAAAAGTGACTTTACAACCATTTTCTGAATCCTAATTGCCCTGGTTGGTGCCATTGCCTGGGTAGAATGGGGGATGTAAAGCTGGGATGTAAATCTTGGATCACTGTAGTCAATTTGGTCTGAGAATCCAGTGTAGATAGAGGGCGAAAAACCAAAGAACGTTAACCATTATCAAATCCAGGGACAAGTGTGGGGCCAGAGTCAGGAGGTGAAATGAAGTCGTAATTCAAAGGTATTCAGGCACATATCAGGAAACAGTGTGGACCAGTGCCCACTCGAGGAATTACAGTGTGAGGTGTTTGTTCTTACTGGATATTCACTTGTTGGCTGAGACTGGCTTACAGGCACAAGGAAATATTTCAAAACACCATTTCATCTTCCTTATTATCCACCTTTTGAAGATGCTCTCTTAAGAGCCCAGATGAACATGAAACTTCTGTTACAATATAAACTTCAGACTCTTCTGCATCCCAGTGGGCAAAGTGATATACCTCCCCCCAGTGTTGATTTGTTTTAAATTCATTTGAATTAATCAAAATCTAGAAAGCCATAGACAACAGAGACTCTAGGAGGCTCTAGTTTTATAAAACTCCATTTAGCTGTGGCTGCCAACAGGTCACTGCACCCTTTGTCGTTCATTCTGGCATTGCTTCCTCACCTTTGATGCCCCTGCTTGCCTGCTCAGGCCCGACTCTGGTGGTGTGGGATAGCGTTTTCATTCTTGTGGCCTCTGCTGTCAATTCCAAATTCCCAGCAATAAGCAAACTTCAAGGGCCTAGGTATTTCATACTGAGAGATGTTTTGAGAATCATCTAGCATTCACTGCCTTTGCTTTTCAGTTTAAACAACAAAGAAACAAATAATGCAAAACAAAAAACAAAATAAACAAACCCAAAACCCCAAGACATTGAAAGGAAATAAGGGGGAGGACCAAAGAGACGGAGGTGATAATAAGAAAAAGGGGCTGAAGAAATAAAACCAACATTTATTATGTGCTAAAATGTAGCAAGCCCTGTGCTAGGTTCTTATAATGCAGTGTGCTACTTGATTTTGCCATGACCTGGTGTTAAGGTCATCATTGGGCCCACTTTACCAGAGGGTCAAATAGAGCGTAAGAGAAAGTCTATTTAGAGGTCATAGTCCCGCAGATACTCCCCCGCGGAGTGAAGGGAGAACCTGGATCTCTCCTGCTTTCTAGAACCATGCCGAAAATGGCAGACGATAGTGGCTGCAAGGAAAGTGACATCCTTTTTTGTCACAAAGTAGCTTAACTATGATATGATACGCCATTTAGATAAAAGGCAGAAGTGGGAAGAGGAAAAGTCACAGATCTGTTCCCTTCCAACCAAATTACTCTCTTCATTCATTTTGAACCTAACATATAGGGACTACTTTATGGTGGTAATAATCTTTTTACATGAACATGACCTGTCTTTTCCTTAGTCAGCAATATGCAGTCATGCTGGGTAGTCCCTGAGCTGTATAACGGTTGATATATAGTCTCTACATACTTAATATGCAGAAATTGATTTTTTAAATAAATCAAGATGACTGGTTTTTTTCCCTTCATAAGCCATGTCTAGATTTAGATGTTTCTACTAAATGGTGATCTCAGCCCTGCATGCTGATTCTTTAAGGAGCTACATATTAAGCA